GGCAGCAGGGGTGACTCTGGATTCCCCCCCGGGGAGCGGAGATCAGACTCCATCCCCGTCTCTCTTCTCCAGGGCTGGACCCAGCTCATGCAACACGGCGGGAAGCTGCGCAGTCTGCCGGGCCGTCCTGCACGTGGGGCCCGCTGGGTTTCGGCGCTGGGAGCCGCGCCAGGAGCCACGTGCTTGCAGAGAAATGCCCTGCGCACGTCAGAAGCCAGCTTCTCTGCAGCCTCCTCCTTGGCACCGGCTGGGTGGGTCACAGCCCCTAAGACGGGTTTGGGCGGGAGGCATTAAGACGACAGGGGATTATTTCCAGGCAGAAATGCTTGCCTTCCCGTGGGATCACGTTTAGAGCCTTGTGGCCCCTGCCTTTAACGCTCCACCCTCAGGCACGTAGGGAGGGGGCTGAGGCCAGCCTGTGATCTTGGGTCTCCTTGCGCCGCTGGCCTGTAAAGCCCATGAGGGAGGCTGGGACCCTGCAATGCAAGAGGCTACGTTTCCAAAGCAGACCCTCCGGGCCCGACCCGGAGCTGCCTTTCATCCGTGTAAAGGGGGAGCAGAGCAACCACCCCGCACGGAAATGGATCCATTCCGTAGGCAGGCCCTGCCCTGGGATTGGCCCACCGGGCTGGACCTACCAGTGAGTCCGAGGGGAAGGGGCCAGCTGGCTGCCACCTGGAGAGCACCAGGAAGTGGACAGGGCCACACTGGAACCAGCTGGAGCCAGAGCTGACCCAAGATACCTGCAAACCTCCTGCACCGCTGGGGGCTCAGGCCCAACTCCGACTGCGCCTCACCTAAGAGCCAGGCAGCAGCACCGGACCTGAGCCTCGGTTGTGGAAACGCACTGCCCCATGGACCTCACCAGCCATCTCGGGCTGTGTAGCTGGTGCTGTGCTTGACTCCCCCGTCAGACCCATAGCACCTGTGGGGAGCACTAGCACTGCCCCCCTCCCAGGCAAGGAAACGGACAGAGGGGAAGCCACTTACCAACGTCACTCCCGGCCCCTCTGCTCTAGTCTCACCAGTCCCCCAAGCTCCTCCCAGAGACAGAGAGAGAACCCAGGTGTCCTGGATGCCACGTGATCCTCACTCCCCTCTTGCAGCTGGAAACGGAACCCAGGAGTTCCAGGAGCACTAGCACTGCCCCCCTCCCAGGCAAGGAAACGGACAGAGGGGAAGCCACTTACCAACGTCACTCCCGGCCCCTCTGCTCTAGTCTCACCAGTCCCCCAAGCTCCTCCCAGAGACAGAGAGAGAACCCAGGTGTCCTGGATGCCACGTGATCCTCACTCCCCTCTTGCAGCTGGAAACGGAACCCAGGAGTTCCAGCTCCCAGTTGCCCTGCTCTAACCACTAGACCCCACTCTCCTCCCAGCAAGGCCCAGAACCCCAGAGGCGCCTTCCCGAAAAGGACAGTGCCTCTCCCTTTGGCACCCAATCCCGCCTGGCCATAAGCCCTGAGCTCCTGCCCTGCCAGGATCAGGCCTTCGAAAGGGACAGGATCAGCATCTCTGGCGCAGCTGAGTTCTCCCTGTTGAACTGGCAGAGATTTAAGCATCTGCTCCGCTCAAGAGCTAACAGCTGGAGAAATATCCTTGGGGATGCAGGGGGGGGGTTATCTACGCAGGAAAAGTAAAGCCCTGTCCAGCCCTTGGCCACACCCAGGATCACGTGTGTTATAAATCTGATTACAGCCTCTGGCCCTGTCGCTGGCGGAAGCTGAGATGTATTAAGGCGCGTTATCTTCCTGGCTGGAGGTAGGATTTCTGCTAAGTAGAAAGTAACACACTAATACGCTGGGTATTTCCCCAAGTGCTTGGCAAGCCCAGTCCTTCGCTAACGCAACCCCCCCTTCCCCCCCGTCACCCCAGCAGGCAGGTCAGGGCTGTTTTGTAGGCTGGGCTGAAGCCAAGGCACAGGAGGATTAATATCAATACACATTCCTTTATTAACCACACTTGTTCTCTCAGCAAGAGACAATGTGTTATTTTGACATGATTCATTTCCCATAAACACCTGGTGATGTGGATTAATAGCATTATCCTCTTTGTTAATCAATTCCTGGACGAGCTGCCCCATGATCATGTAAAGGACTGGTGTCAGCCAAGAAGCCTATAATTGCCTGGGTCATCCCATTTATCCTTTATAAATATTGGCACAACATTAGCTTTCCTCCAGTCTTCCAAAACTTCTTGAAAATCAACATGAATAGACCAGCAAGCTCCTCGGCCAATTCTTTTAAAACTCTTAGATGCATGTTAATTGGTCCTGCTGATTTTAAAATGTACAATTTTAGTACCTTCTGTTAACAGATATTCTAGAGGAATGGAAAATGTTTTATCATCACCATATGATGAAACTATGACATGTTTCTCCCCCCAAACACAGAACAAAAATATGTAAACACTTCTGCCTTGTTCTCTGCTATTATTGATAATTTTACCATTTCTGTCTACTAATGGACCAATACCACTGTCAGGGTTATTTTTGTTCCTAATTTATTTTTAAAATTCCAGATTGTCCCTAATTCTGCTGGCCATAGAGTTTATGTTCTGTCCTTTAGCTTCCCTTATTGATTTCCTGCAATTCCTGACTTGTGATTTTTAATGATTACTATCTACTTCCCCTTTCTTCCTTTTGATTTTCTCTCTCACACACACGCTGCCTTCACTTCCTCTCTTAACCACATTGGTTTTTTAACCAGCCCAGCCTTCTTCCGCAGTTGTGGCTTTTGGGGCATCGGTAAGGTGTTCTTAAATGACTCCTAATTATCATTCACAGTTTTCTGATTCAATTCTTCCTCCTAGCTGGCTTGGCTTTGCACTTGTTTGCAGCTTTTGTGAAACTGGCCCTTTTAAAGCATGAACTAGCCCGGACTGTTCTTTGATTGCACGTTATAACACACAAAGCAGCTCTAACTCTCAGCAAAACAGTAAGTCTGGTGCAATCTCTAACCAAAGTCACCATCACCTCACTGCCAGTCTCCCCCACTTCATTTTCCCCTTCTGCAGTGGACATGTCCACGGACCTGATGAATTTGGGAGAAGGGTTTTTCTAGTGCTTGTAAAGACTTCTTCCACTGTTGCACGCATAAGGAGACAGTATCCGGCTTCTGCCAAAAGCCATCATCAGCCTGGGGAAGACTGTGATTAACAGGTACCCTGTCCCGTCAGCAGCTGCCCAGCAAAGTGAGAATTCTTCTACAGCTGCACAACCTGGCCAGCAATTCTCAGCACCAAAAATATTCTGATGAGGGACACAAGAGCCTGTCACTGCGATGCCACATGCAGAGCTAAGGGCAATTCCCACCAGCTGAGGATTTGGTTCCACGTCTGGGCTCTTTCAGGGGGAAGGGAATGTTACAGAAGTTAACGGAACATAGGAACGGCCACACTGGGTCAGACCAAAGGTCCATTTAGCCCAGTCTTCTGACAGTGGCCAATGCCAGGTGTCCCAGAGGGAATGAACAGAACAGGGAACCACAAAATCATGGGCTAGCGACACCATCTCTGCCCATCCTGGCTCATAGCCTGTGATGGACCAATTCTCCATGAATTTATAGTTCTTTTTTTGAACCCTGTTAAAGTCCTGGTCTTCCCAACATCCTCCGGCAAGGAGTTCCACAGGTTGACTGTGTGCTGTATGAAGAAAAACTTCCTTTTGTTTGTTTTAAACCTGCTACCTATTCATTTAATTTGGTGACCCCTAGTTCTTATGTTATGGGAACAAGCACATAACTTTTCCTTATTCACTTTCTTCACACCTGTCATGACCTCCATCATATCCCCCCCTTAGTCTCTTCTTTTCTAAGTTGAAAAGTCCCCGTCTTTTTAATCTCTCTTTATATGGGACCCATTCCAAACCCCTCATCATTTTTGTTGCCCTTTTCTGAACCTTTTCCAATGCCAAGATATCTTTTTTGAGACGCAGCGTCCACGTCTGTACGCAGTATTCCAGATGTGGGCGTACCACGGATTTATACAGAGGAATAGAAATGTCCACATGGCATTTAAAAGAGGGATAGTTTCAGCTTCTCTCTGCACTTTAGGGAAGCCAAACACAGCCACGGCGGGCTGCAGCAAGGCGATCACGACAGTGACATCGGTTAGGACTTGTCTCTACACTCCAGGGAGACTCATCCAGCTAGGTTCACTGACCCCGCTAACCTAGTGAACCAAGGGCTAGTTCGCTCACTTCAGTTACCTGGTGCCCTTCCTCGGGACCTGTCTCAGCCCCCCTTTGCCTCTTGGCCTAACCTGACCTGGGAGCCCTCTGGGGCAGTGCCTGTCTTAGTACAGGCCTGACCTGGCATGGCTGGCATTACCGCCACCCGAACAGCAGCCCTTCCCACCCCACGGGGATTATTGCAGGCGCAAATGACATTGGAGTGGAAGCGAACAGTGATCTTTAATGGAACAGAGAAGGGAAGACAAAAAACCGTGGTAGCGGCCCGAGGAAGTATCCTTCCCCGGTTACACTAAATCTGCCGCCCCCAGGCTCCGACACGCAACCACCGCTCTCTGTCCATTTTAGGCGAGGAACGAAGACGTGAGGGCCAGCCAATCGGGCAGCCCTGGAACGGCTCCGACTTTGAAAGAAGAGGGGTTTGTCCAGGCCGGGGGCTGGTTTTTCTTTCTCTCTCGCTAGGACAAAATGAATCTTCCCGCAGCAGGAGGAGAGCCCCTGTAACGTCGCCGTAAAACATGTTTCTGGCTGTTGGGAGCTCCCGCCCCGGCAGCTCAGCCAGGGACTCGGTTGGAGGGTCGCACCGCGAGCTTCGCAGGCGGACGTGCCAAGAGGAAGGGGCCAGACCAGACCTGAGCGCTCCCGGTCCCTGCTAGGAGAGGAGAAAGGGGGGGTTGTATTTCTAACCCTCCCCTCAAATGTGTCCGTTACCTCCAGAGACCACCAGCAACTGCAGCCAGGAATCCAGGCCGACATTGACTAGCCACCTGCAGCTCCTCTTCTGGCTGGCGAAGGGGCGCCGGGCGGGTTCCCTAGGTGCCACCGAGCCCCACGTCCCCCTCCTTGGAGGCTCTCCGGTCCTTCCCCAGCAGGCTGATCATGCTGCCAGACTTGAGGAGCAGGTTGCAGCCCAGGAAGAAGATGCCGAAGGCGACCGTGAGGCACAGCACGCAGAGCACCGCGACCTTCATGAAGTGCGGGCTCAGCTGCTCGCTCTGCGCCGCCAGGCCCCCCGCGCCCCCGCTCGCCAGGGTGCAGCAGGCCCCCAGGACGGCGTCCCCGGGCCGGGTGGCTGCCGGCAGGGAGCGCGTGGGGCTCAGCGAGGTGCCGTTCATGTCTCAGCCCGTCCAGCCAGGTGTGGGGATCCCGAAAGGCTCACTCCGTGCCCCCCGCTGCCAGCTCAGCCTCTCCTCCAGGAGCCTGCACAAATCCCGCCTCCCCCCCCACTGCCCAGTTTTCTCCTCCCCTCGGGAGCCGGCTGGGCTGCTGCAGGTCAGTGACAGACGGGGCGGGTTTAAGTGATGTCAGGAAACTTCTCCCTTCAGCCCCCATGGCTTAACTGATCACCCTGCAGAAGGAGCCAGACTCCCTGCACCCCCGTATCCCTGGGGAAACCCCTCTGCCTTGAGGGAACAGCTCCCCATGCCCCTCCTGAGAATCAGGCACCCTGCACCCCAAAGAATGATCCTTCCCACCCCCGCATTCCACCAGGGAAGCAACACCCCTTCTTCCTCCCTATGCCCCCCACCCCACATCCCAGGGGACCAGGCCCCTCCCAGGCAACACCAGCCCCCCTCCACCATGCGGGCTCAGGGAAATGCCTCCGCCCCAGGTTCCCAGTTCCAGGAGGCCCCCCAAACAGGTTCCCCGTGGGGGAGGAGGAGGAAAGGGACTCCGCCTCCTGCTCTGTTCTGCTGGCTGCTGGGGCGGGGTCCCTGCCCGCTCTCTCCCAAGGGGCCAGCTGATCCGGGCCCTGCCCCTGGAGACGTGCGGCTGCCGTCCAGGCTCAGCACCAAGGGAGCGACCCCCACAGCTGCCCAGCTGAGGCAAAGCTCCTCCAGGCCTGCCCATCCTGCCCCAGGAACGTGGGCCAGGCAGGGGGGCCGGGCTCATCTCTGGGCCGGTTCTTGCCAAAGGCTCAATCCTGCAGCCACAGTGGAGCGGGGAGAGCAAGGGGCCTTTCCCCATGGCCAGGAGCGATTGGGGGGGTCACCAAAACGTGGCTGAGCTCGTGTGACTCGAACGTGGCCGGCCAGGGGGCTGCAAGCAGGAACGTCGTCAGAGAAACCTTTCCCGTGATGATTGGCGTTTGGCTTGGAGGTGAAGCTCCCTGCGGCCTGCAAGACACCACGGTGCAGCTTGGACCCCCCCTGCCGCCACAGAACAGCTCCCCCGGGTCACGAGGGAGCCAGAGTGTTTTTCATCAGCTCGTTAATCCTCCTACCCAGACCCAATCCCAGCAGAGTAAATCCTCTCTCCCTCCCGAAGCCCGGCGGTGGCGGCAGCTGGATGCGCACCCTTCGCCGAAGCGTTAGCTCGCACGGCGGGGCTCTTCAGACAGCGGTTGTGGCCAGCAGAAGCAGCCTCCGTGTTGGCTCTCAAGGGCAGGCCCGTGCCTGGGCGCGACACCGCCTCCCCCAGCACGGCAGAGATGCCTGGCTCAGCTCCCGCCACCCACCCGCGACGGGACGCCTCACTCGGGGCTTTCCTGGGCTAAGAAGTCACTTCTTAATGCGTCTGACTAGCCCAGGGCTGACGTCCATATTATTACTGCCTCGACTTCCTTGCCTCTTTGGCCTCCCTTGCCTCTGTGCAACGACGCTGCACTGATTAGCTCGCTCCCAGTCACCTCCAACTGGGGTTAAATGGCTGAGCTGTGCCGCTGACCGAGTGCGAGGAGTTTCCTTAGAAGCTATTCTCCTCGGCTGTGCTATTTTGCTGGGACGGCACCCTGGGTCCTGTCTCTGTGCCGAGGGGACGCTGGTGCGGTGCCAGCAGGGCCCCCAACATTTTGGCACCTGAGGCAGGGAGCTCAATTGACGCCCTCTCGCTTGGGCCAAAACTTTGAAAGGTCTCGATTCTGCCTCCTTCCTGTTCTGCTCTTCGCAGGGCGTATCATGCCCCCTTTTCTGCATCTCCTTTGAAAGGTAAGCAATCACAGTCTTTTCAATCTCTTTTTCTCAGAGGCTGTCTCTAGACTAGCCAGTTTTTCCGGAAAATCAGCCGCTTTTCCAGAAAAACTTGACAGCTGTCTACACTGGCTGCTTGATTTTCTGCAAAAGCACTGACTTCCTACTGTAAGAAATCAGTGCTTGTGGCGGAAATACTATGCTGCTCCCGGTCGGGCAAAAGTCCCTTTTGCGCAAAAGGGCCAGTGTAGACAGCTGGGATTTGTTTTCTGCAAAAAAGCCCCGATTGCGAAAATGGCGATTGGGGCTTTTTTGCGCAAAAGCGTGTCTAGAGTGGCCACGGACGCTTTTCCACAAAAAGTGCTTTTGCGCAAAAGTGTCCGTGCCAATCTAGACGCTCTGTTCCCAAAATGCTTTTAACGGAAAACTTTTCCGTTAAAAGCATTTGCGGAAAATCATGCCAGTCTAGACGTAGCCACAGAGTCTGGCACCTGAGGCGGCCGCCTCAGTTCGCCTCATGGTAGGGACAGCCCAGGGTGCCAGCTGTCCCACCGACCCCTCTGGAGACCAGAGATTGTAGGCTCAGAATGGGCTCGTTGCAGGTGTGGCAGTAACACAGGCCTCCTCTGGCCCTCTTATGCCAGCTGAGAATTTAGACAAAATTCTCTACAGCCAGCACTGAGGATGGAGGCTGCATTTTTTCCCAACCTCTCCCAGAGGTGCTGAGTCCCTGCGGTCTCCCCCTGGCCAAGGTGCGTGCTCAGCAGGCCTGAAAGCCAGGGAGGGCCTCTTAGGCAGCCAAACACACAGTTGCCGGGCTCCGAGTCCCGTTGCTAGGGCCATGGAAGTCCGACCTGACGAGGACACCATCATAGCTGGGCGCCCCGCTGGGTCCCACCTGCCACGTCCGGCTGGCCGAGTAGAGGAACTCAGAAAACCTGCTCCTCTGGGGGGGAAGGAACAGACCCACAGGCTCCGAGAGGGACTCCCCTCACGCAGGGGAATGCGCCAGATAGGGGTCTGGGCCCTCTCTTAGCTGCTGCAGCTGGTTCGCCAGAGCCAGACTGGTCAGTCCATGCCCCACACCTTCTCTTGGCCCAGAGCACGGTATAAACCCGGGAACGGCCAGGCTGGGTCACCCCAATGGGCTGTCTAGCCCAGTGTCTGGCTCCGACTGGGGCTGGTGTTTCAGAGGGAGTGATCGGAAAGGGGCAGTTATTAAGCTCCCTGTTTCCTCCTGCAGCAAGGAGAGCACCGTGGCCGGAAATCTCGAGGGCTGGCTGCACGCTGGGTCCTAGATGAGACCCGAGTGCTCCGGAGGGGACAGGTTGGCCCTGAGCCCTCCTGAAATTCAGCCCTGCCGTCAGCATCGTGTTTTCCCCTTTCCCACACCCGGGGATGGCTCTCCCTTCACTGGCCCCCGCAGGACTCCCTCAGCGCAGGTGGGGAATATGGGACACAGGAGAGAGCTCCAAGGAGAAGGCAGATTATGGACTCGGAGAAAGCCGCAGGGCTGGGCTTTGCAGCTGGGATGGCCCACGGGCAGTCGGCAAAGCCTGACTCTTATCGAGGTGGCACTACGGGAATGGGGGCGCGCACTCTTGACAGGAGACAGAGTAAGAAGGCGGCCAGGCCAACGTTTATTACACCCAGAGCTACAGGCAGGTCAGTTTCCTAACAGTCGGCGACCAACACAAGCACCCAAGGGCTGATGGCGTCAGTCTACACTAGAGAGGATGCGGGGCTGTAGGTGCACTGACGCGACAGGACCGGGAGGTGTCTCCTGCGGCTCCGCTGCCCTTTTGCCAGCCCGGCAGAACGAAGGGGATGGTGTTGACAAACCTGAGAACACGTGGGCAACACAACTCAACCGGGCCGGGGCCCCTTCATGCCCCAGTTCACTCAGCTCCCGGCCCCTTCGACCAACGGCAAGAGGGGATGTGGAGGGGAGACGGAGCAGGCAGGGCCGGCTAGCAACGGCCACTCTCACTGCGCTCGCTTCTCCGGCCAGGCTGGCTTCCCTTCCACCCCCTTTGACAAACCTGAGAACACGTGGGCAACACAACTCAACCGGGCCGGGGCCCCTTCATGCCCCAGTTCACTCAGCTCCCGGCCCCTTCGACCAACGGCAAGAGGGGATGTGGAGGGGAGACGGAGCAGGCAGGGCCGGCTAGCAACGGCCACTCTCACTGCGCTCGCTTCTCCGGCCAGGCTGGCTTCCCTTCCACCCCCTGGCTGCACCTCTCAGGGAAGGGGGTTCAGGTGCCTGGCTGGGGCGGTGGGTGTTAAGGACTGAGCCACACCCCAGTATTTTAGGGAAGGGGCTGTACAAACCCTACTCGAGGGGGCAGCTCCCCCTGGATGGATCCTTCTCGTTGGCAGCTGGAGAGAGGCAGAGAAGGGCACCACAGATGCCCGAGTGCTGTTCTAACCGCAGCTGCCTCTGCGGGGGGGTTTTCCCCACTGTCACCAGACGAGAGGGCTAAAGGGAGAGAAATTCAACCCGCCTCGACAGCAGCCAGAGGTTACCCACGGATTGTTAGAGCCTCTGCAGACCCCCGGCCCCAGCGGGAATTCCCAGTCCCACGACGCAAGGCAGCAGCAGGCCCAGTGCCAGGCCGGGCCTGGATGAGGTCCCACAAGGGAAGCGGGGCTTGAGGAGGGATCTGAGGGAAGAGAGAGCGGGGGAGGGGAGCCGACAGGCCGGCTGCAACACAGGCCGCGGGACCGACGGTGCACAGGCTGCGGCCTCAGGCGACCCCCACACAGGGAGAGTCGCAGTTTGGGCTGGCCCAAGTCCAGCCTGTGGAGAGCTCCCCCCCGAACGGGACAGAGGAAAGGGAGGGGTCTTAGCAGGCCAACGGGCTGGGACTGTACTCGGAGAGGCCCCTCCTCGCCAGGACACCCGTGTCACCCTGTCTGGTGGGGAGCAGACAGGTGCCAGCCTCTGACAAACCCCCGTCCCCAGACCCCGGCCCTACAGAGCCAGCGTGTCTTTGATGAGCCGCCGCATGGTGGTGGTGACGGAGGAGCCGAGGGAGTCCGTGATCTGGTAGGAGATCTTGTACAGGTAGGGCTGCACGTCCTTCAGGCTCGTGTCGAAGACGTTGTCCACCTCCGACTGGGTGGGCATTTTGGGCAGGTACTCGTGCCTGTTCATCACCTCCACAATGTTGATCAGCTTCTCGCACAGCTTCTCCCCCACCTTCTCCCGGCAGATCTGCCGCTCCTGCTCGCTGACCAGGTTCACCACGTTGACCTTAATGGTCCACACCTCCCAGGGGATACACTCGTCCGAGAAGGGCCAGCGCGACTTCTTCTTCTGGTAGAACTCCAGGCTGATCTGCCCGATGCCGTCGCTGCCCGAGTTCCGGAGGGCGTCCTGCGGAGAGAACACCCGGCACAGCTGAGCTCTGGGGCGGAGGGACACTGGGGCAAGGCCCACACCGTGACAGCAGCTGGAGATTCCTCTCCGTGAAGCCGTCTGGTAACTACGGTGAGCAGCCTCACCGCCAGCAGCTTCTTCCGGAGCTAAGGGGCGCACCGGGGAAAGGGACACAGCTCCATGCGGCTTGCCAATTCCCAAACAGCCAACTGCCCCCAGGTCCCACTGCAGAAGGGCCAAGCCTCCAGGGACGTTTACATTGGGCGCTTTGCAAACGTCATCGCTTTCCTTGCACAAAAGGTTGCAGGCTGCTAGGGCTGGAAATCCGGGCTGGGGCTGGCACACGGCACAACATACAGACGGTGAAGGATTTGAACAGTGATGGTTGGAGATGACACCCACAGG